GTCTGCTTTAGAGAAGCTTTTGGCGATTGGTGAAGCGGGGTGAAGTCGTCTATTTGTGCGCTTATTTACCATGTATGTAAATGGCGAATGATATTCTGAACACTACGATTTAAACACATTTGTCAGTTGAAACTTATCCGCAGCATAAAGGAAGGTAAAGTTCCTCAGAGGGAAAACAAACAAAACAGCTAGAAAAATACAAGACTTGAAAGACTTAGATCCAAATTAAAATAATTCAAATAACATTTACAAAAACGTTCAGCGGCTCGGGAAACCTGAACTTCATAGTTGGAACGAGTGAGCTTTTACTGTTGTGACCGGACGATTGAGAGTTCAGGCTACTAAATGAGAGATCAGTACTTCAAGACTGCCTAGAATTTCGTGGGATGCGCACCACTGTTGGTCGCCAATAGGGACGAAACTGAATACAGTGCTTCAGGATCGATCGGCTTCACCCACAGGACGGAATCACTGTTAAAAATTCCCGAATCTCCACAAACCACCAACATCCAAAACTACCACATAATGAACTCACAGACCATTGCGAGAAATGTCCCCAGTGCATGATACTCAAAGGCGATAAACCGCTTCATACGTGATTTCCTCGCTCAAACGAAACCATTAAAACGTGGCTAGCACATTTGCTATGCGACTCAAGGGGACTACGACGTACTCCCACATTTGCTGCCGACTCGCTCAAACGAAGATGCATGCAATCGAAAGCGACGGGTGGGTACAAATGAAAGACCTGCTCAATGGTTCGCGCCCTATCTCGTAAGCTGTCTCGAATTCCCACCAAAGTACCGAAAAAGAATTTGCTAGACATAGGTGGTAAGACTAGATATGTAATACGGAAAAACACTCACCTCTTCATCGGCATTGTCCGCAGATGAGTCTGTGGATGTACATTCAGCTAAACCAACCTGAATGAGTTGCTTGCTGGCATGCAAAGCAAGCGCTACAGTGACGGGGCTAATAGAAGCTGCAGATTGAAAGTATTCCTGCAAACAAAGTTCCCAAACAACTTCAGTCGCAGCAGACCATTCTTGAGCATCCACAAAATGATCCAATAACAAGTTTGCCGAGACCTCGTCCAGAAAAACACCAGTGTATGCCTGCGAAATATCCATAGGAAAACAAGGTAGGCATTTACTCGTTCTCGAAGTAACTCCAGAATTTTTTCGTGACGCTGAAAACCCAAGTATCCACGAACAATGGCATGTGCCGTGGAATCAACTACCTGGATTGCAGATTGGGTTTTTGAATACCTGAATTGAGAAGTTGCCAAACATCTTACTTTTTGATGATTGACTCTATGAAGTCGGTTGAAATGGCGTCTAGTTCGTGTAGTTTGTTGGCGAACTACATGAGTTGTCGTAGGAAAAGTATTATGCAGCACTCACTATATCATAATCCAATGGAGACGCAGAGCCACCTGAATCTATCGTATGCAAAATCGAAAGTCCCAGATCACCTTCAAAAGATAGTGAAATGAGCACAAATGCGTACGTGCAGAGACACTTTTGAACGAGTCATGGGCCAACCGTTGTTCCCAAAGATGATCGCAACGGTACGTCTGAGGGAGAATGCTTCGGGATGGCATGTGGAGGACTGAGGCTAAAGAAAGTCGAGCAAAGGCAATAAGCTCACATGTACGCAGGTATGTAATACACACTCTGGTGAAGTTGTTAGGTCCCATAATGTTCCTAAAATGCGAAAAAAGAGGCAAGTGTGATACGAGAATTCACTAAGCGATGTCTTGATCGTCAGGAAAATCGGTTACACTAGGGCTGCTTTAACGGTAGGTAAAATGGAGTGAAAACAATGAGCAGAAAAAGGTCAGAAAAAGAAAAAGTGGGAGCAGTGAAATGAACTGATGACGATACAATTGTGGTTTGGAGATTAACTTAAACTATGCTCTAGAGCACCAATATTAGGTCTTGATACTGCTTCATCAAGGTGACCAACATCGGTATGGT